ACTCTTAACTTAACTGATCGTTCCATCAATCAAAATCACCTCACACCTTTATGTAATACAATTTAGGTATTTCATACAGGTGTGAGTATAACAAAAAGTTGCCCCCTGGTGGGATTTTAATGAATTTAATTTAATTTTAATTGAACTACTGAGGACATTACAATCACAGAGCTGCGCAGTGGAAATAAAGATGTTAAGTGTGGGCCCTGTAATTAAATATCCCAGAAGTCCGATTTATGGACCGTGAGAGGTCTGATATGTTGTCCTCCTTCACACCCTCTTCAGCTTATTTCTAACACTTCTTAAAACTAATAGATGTGTTTATTTGAACACTCTATGAATTGAAATGTCTGTTCTGATGAAAGATTGTGACATGAATTGATACTCTGTAAAACTGTAAAATTGCAAATAATAATATTGAAATATTGATTGAAAATATTTATGAAACTGTTTGTTCAGAAACTATTTATCAAAGTATGACTTCAAGATGTTTGTATACACTGGATTTCGGTTAAGCCGATTATTCATGAATTCACCAACTTGATATTAAAAAATGTGATCATCAACACTCATTGTGTATACTTTGTATACTTCTTCCAGTTAAGCCATTTACCTCTTTAATTTACCAGTTTTATACTAATGATACTAACAGCTGAAACACAGGATAATGAAAAGATGGTGATTTGTAAAAATGCTATATAATGAGATGATAATTGCAAATGAGCTGTGATACAATAATTAAAAAATTTATACTATGTGATAACCTTTTGTGTACTATTTAACAATATTTTGAAAGAGAGAGTGAGAGAGTTGATTGTAAGATTGAATGTTCAAATTGGTGGTTTGTTCATTTTTAAAACTGCAAAGTCTCGGGAAAACCTAGCCTTGATGATTTTATTTATTTGTTTTGGATCACCAGACTCCCCAAAGATGTTCGTAATTATCAAACTGGCCAGTTTACAATTTAATCAAACAGGGACTATTATGTAGGTTTGTGATCTACATCACTCCTTGCTGATCAGTGCAACGGGGCCAATCGACTGCTGAGTCGATTATTTGATAATTTTTATTTAGTATTTAATATTTATGAATTTAATGGGAGTCTATCCTCATGACCCTTTATCAACCCTAGCCTTCGACCGAGCACTCTGTTACCCCCATTTACGTTACACAATCAAACTCTCACTATTAAAAATGTAATACTGTTCAAAAATTATTCTACACATGAAATACAAACGTTTTAAATAATAATACTGATGATGATAGGATCTGACTTTACATAGAATACAAAAATAATAATATCACAGACAAACATTGCTCTTTAAATTAATATACCATTTCAATTCAATTTAATAAATAATTTTCATTTGACTAGGTTCACTATTATAACCTTAATTCTTTGTATGACATGACCAAATTTAATAAAACATTTTATCCTGAATCGTGACCATGTGCTCTAAGTAGACCAAATGAAACATGAAAATCTCAGACCAAACAAAACATGATTCATAACTTGTAAAACGAGTGGTACATGTGAAAAAATGTGGCAGATTGGCAAGACTATTTTAATACTAAAACACAAATAACACAAACATTTACTTACGTACACATGTCGACACATTAACATTCATTCCGACGAAGATTCACGCGTACCGAACATTTAAAAACTGACTCGTGGTTTTGTGACTTTTTGTCTGACCGAGCGGAACATCACGACACGGTTTTTTCTGGTGTAGGACTTATTAATTCTTGTTTTTTTTCGAGCTGGCGTTTAATGATTCAATTGAAAATACCTTCACGACGACCCGCGATTCGCTAGAAACTGACATTTGCTATCGATATGATGCATGTACGAATTTTCATCACGAACGCGAACAATCAATCCGGCATCTCAACTGTCTCGACTTAATACTAATAAAACACACCCCCAAATGCAATTCGGCGAAATTTTGACAATTGCGATCGTTTGATGCACGTACAATTTCCGCCCGAACGCTAATTTCCGAGCTACGAATTAAGATATTAATAAATTCGTCCTACACCAGCGACAAAACGCGACTTCACATGTTGACTACGCGATTACTGAGCCACGAGTGACGAGACGACGAGACGACGAGACGCTTTGCAGACGACGCGGTTCCCAACGGTCTTCGTATCCTTCCGCGTTACGTCATGTTGGACTGACTTGTCCATTGCCTGTCGCGGATTTTAAATCTTTTGATTTGAAAATCGGCACAGACGCCAGGGGCAGTAGGAGAGAACTGCTCAAGAATTGCCTCGCGCAGTCAGTTGTTCTTCAGCCGTCAACCAAACGTTCACTCCCCATGGAGCCACGAACCGTTTAATACACGATTCCTCACGAACAATATCTGGCGAATGCCGATACTAGGAATCCTGAGAAGATACGAACACTGGTAATAGTGGGATTGTATAGTTGTACAAAGTGGCAGAATATTTCAGTTCTGGCGGGGAACATGCAACTTGAGGTGATTATAGTATAAAAGTCCCTGAATATAAAACCGCCCAGACCCCAATTTTTTAGGACCTCGGTCATCTGGAATGATGTCATCAAGATGGCGGCTGTAAGACGTCGCTGGGTCGCCATGAATTGGTTATAACACCCAAATGCCTGAACCGATTTTAATGAAATTTGGCATATAAGTCCTTGAATAAATTATCTCGGCCCAGGTTGACAATGGTCGAGTTTGATCAAGTCGTTTCAAAATGGTGGCCATTAATAACTAAAATAATAAAAAATGTTTCCGTTTTTTGTGTGTTCTCAACTCCCTCCAGAGTTCTGCAGCAACCTATATTTATTTTCCTTGCAAATACAGGTTGTGATGCCGTCTCTGCATTTCATTGAATAGGCAAAATACCCCCGCCACAACAAACCTGCACTGCAGACTAAGTGAGTATCTATTTGCCTGATTTAATATTCAATTAAATTTATTACAACTACATTTAGAGATGGACGATTTTCGGGACGGGATTACATTTGATTCGGGAATTTTTCAAAATGGGATTTCATCCGAACGTTGGCGATTTTGCCGCTTCGCGAGTGACGATGACTCCGCTACAGCGAGAGATGTTCACAATAGTTCCGCGAACGCAGGAGGCGAAGTCATTTCGACGATCGCGCCGTGACCGCAGAGTCACAAGTTGCTGGAGAAGTGGGAGGTGCTAGAGTGTCACAGTCAGGACAATATCAGTAATGTTTATATCACTATTAGCTGTGTCTATTGTGTTGTAGATGAGAGTATGTCTATGAGACAAGCCCAAAAGTTGCTGGAAAAGTGGGAGGTGCTAGAGTGTCACAGTCAGGAACATATCAGTAATGTTTATATATCTACTAGTTGTGTCTATTGTTTTGTAGATGAGAGTATGTCAATGGACACTGTGAGAGGAGCCCACAAGTTGCTGGGGAAGTGGGAGGTGCTAGAGTGTCACAGTCAGGACAATATCAGTAATGTTTATATCACTATTAGCTGTGTCTATTGTGTTGTAGATGAGAGTATGTCTATGAGACAAGCCCACAAGTTGCTGGAGAAGTGGGAGGTGCTAGAGTGTCACAGTCAGGACAATATCAGTAATGTTTATATCACTATTAGCTGTGTCTATTGTGTTGTAGATGAGAGTATGTCTATGAGACAAGCCCAAAAGTTGCTGGAAAAGTGGGAGGTGCTAGAGTGTCACATTCAGGAACATATCAGTAATGTTTATATCACTATTAGCTGTGTCTATTGTGTTGTAGATGAGAGTATGTCTATGAGACAAGCCCAAAAGTTGCTGGAAAAGTGGGAGGTGCTAGAGTGTCACAGTCAGGAACATATCAGTAATGTTTATATATCTACTAGTTGTGTCTATTGTTTTGTAGATGAGAGTATGTCAATGGACACTGTGAGAGGAGCCCACAAGTTGCTGGGGAAGTGGGAGGTGCTAGAGTGTCACAGTCAGGACAATATCAGTAATGTTTATATCACTATTAGCTGTGTCTATTGTGTTGTAGATGAGAGTATGTCTATGAGACAAGCCCACAAGTTGCTGGAGAAGTGGGAGGTGCTAGAGTGTCACAGTCAGGACAATATCAGTAATGTTTATATCACTATTAGCTGTGTCTATTGTGTTGTAGATGAGAGTATGTCTATGAGACAAGCCCAAAAGTTGCTGGAAAAGTGGGAGGTGCTAGAGTGTCACATTCAGGAACATATCAGTAATGTTTATATATCTACTAGTTGTGTCTATTGTTTTGTAGATGAGAGTATGTCAATGGACACTGTGAGAGGAGCCCACAAGTTGCTGGGGAAGTGGGAGGTGCTAGAGTGCCACAGTCAAGACAATATCAGTAATGTTTATATCACTATTAGTTGTGTCTATTGTGTTGTAGATGAGAGTATGTCTATGAGACAAGCCCACAAGTTGCTAGGGAAGTGGGAGGTGCTAAAGTGCACACAGTCAAGACAATATCAGTAATGTTTATATCACTATTAGTTGTGTCTATTGTGTTGTAGATGAGAGTATGTCTATGAGACAAGCCTACAAGTTGCTAGGGAAGTGGGAGGTGCTAGAGTGCCACAGTTAAGACAATATCAGTAATGTTTATATCACTACTCGTTGTGTCTATTGTGTTGTAGATGAGAGTATGTCTATGAGACAAGCCCACAAGTTGCTAGGGAAGTGGGAGGTGCTAGAGTGTCACAGTCAAGACAATATCAGTAATGTTTATATCACTATTAGCTGTGTCTATTGTGATGCAGATGAGAGTATGTCTATGAGACAAGCCCACAAGTTGCTGGAGAAGTGGGAGGTGCTAGAGTGTCACAGTCAGGACAATATCAGTAATGTTTATATCACTATTAGTTGTGTCTATTGTGTTGTAGATGAGAGTATGTCTGTGAGACAAGCCCACAAGTTGCTGGAGAAGTAGGAGGTGCTAGAGTGCCACAGTCAAGACAATATCAGTAACGTTTATATCACTACTAGTTTTGTCTATTGTGTTGTAGATGAGAGTGTCTCTATGGACACTGTGAGACAAGCACTCAAATTGCTAGAGAAGTGGGAGGTGCTAGAGTGCCACAGTCAAGACAAGATCAAGCTTTACTACTTAGGACAACATTACGATGGAGAAGGCTTGCTTGATCCAATAATTGAGAGGATCCGCCAGTTTCAATGATCTCTAGAAATAATTTATAATAGATTTTTTATTGTCAAATGTTCATCACTTTGTTGAATGAGTTATTAGTTTTTAATTTTCTTAAGAGTCTATGAACATTGAGATTTTAAACCGATAACCTTGATAATACCTAATATTTTATCGGTTCAATTCCTTTTATCTAGTTTTTGCTAATTGACTTTTAAGATATTTCAAATCCTAAGTAAGATAAGTTGTTAAACATTGTGTACCCTTCTCTTCTGATTATTTTTTAACATTTTTACTATCCCCTTCACTCTGTTATATCTTATCAAATCCATTTACTACTTCTTATTTACTAGTTTTTAATTAAATTAACAGTGCCATCTTGATTCTTTGTTAACAATTTTTTAAACTTTCATATTATTTTTAAGGTTTAATTATGCCTTAATACTCAATAATTATTAATGATAAAGACTGGGACAAATATTGATTATATTGTTGCTCTTTGTACATTTATAGTTTTGTAGTTAAGATTGTTATGTAAATAATTGATTCCATTCTGAGAATGGTCACACAGTTACCAGGCTGGATTTGATTTGTTATTGAAATATATAAAACTGTGTAATCATAGTTTTTCTTATTTGTAGCCCTTACTTCTCATAATGATCAGCTGGTCTGAGCTAGTAATAAAGCTTACTCCTGTTCTCATCGATTGTAGCCACATTCCTTTCTAGTCACAGCAGATTAATATGGGGGGTCTGGTCAGGTTAAAGAAAGGCTACTTGGTCCAATAGTGATACAGAACACTGGCTAGTAAATATCAATTATAATATTTTTGCGTTTACTTTTTCTTATGAATGTATTTTAGCATAAGCCTAATACTAGTATATCCATGAATGGGAGTAAGCTCCATTTTGTGGTAGAGCACTGGGCTTTAATCACCACGGCCTGAGTCCTAGCGACCAAGAATGTGAAGGAAGCAGGCCCGGACTGGCCAGGTCCTACTCCCTGATCGCAGAGGGCCCCTGACCAAGGGACCCCGAAGGGTCCTCTACTCAGCATACACAAAAATGATTTTGTCTTGTTAGGAGTTATTACGTATACATCAGAGTTTTTAAAATTCATTATATTGGTTCTGAAATGTTAGGCCTACTTTATTATTTGGACTTTTTCAACGTGGGGTGATTAAAACCACACAACATTTCTGGTGGTGTATCAGCTCCTCCTGTTTTCAAGAGAAATTGCTATTCAATATTATACTAATTGGCCCTCAAGAGGTAGCTAGTCAAAAACTGCTTATTGTTTACAACTCTTAAATAGCCACCCAATTATTTTTAAATATTGGTTTTCAATATGCAGTATTTTGGCTGGCTACCTTTTAATGGGCCAATGTATTAATTGTACAATAGCGATTTTACTTGAAAACAGGAGAGTTGATCCACCTCCAGAAACGTTGTGTAGTTTTAAACACAAGAGACATTGGAAAAGCTGAAAAATCCAAATAATAAAGTAACATATATGTGTACTTGTTTTTACTAACATTTTCCAAGTAGAACAACTGTGTCAAACTACTGTTTAAATATCTTGCTGTTTATATGAAAGGTTCATGCAAACTACTGTATAGCAAGTGGAGTTACGTTGCTGTGGTGTAGGCCTAATGCATCGTCTGCATGGTGATAAGGTGTTTAACAGACAACTGCAAAGGGTTGCTCTGTCATACCAGCTGATTACTCATTCATTAGGTTTTTCCCATTTTTGACCCAAAAAACATAAAATTTAGCAATTTCTTTTCAAACTATTTTTTTGAGCTTAAAAAACAAATAATTTAGTATATTGAAGCGTTATTATGCGCCAAATGGTTACGGAGAAAATTCCAAAAAAATGTATATTTAAAATGCCCATGTTATTCTTAAGGAGAACAAGTAAACTGTTGTAGTTTGCTTGTTTATTAACATATTTTGATCAAATTTGGAAAATGTTTTTATTTCTTACTAACTATTAACATTTTACAAAAAAAAACTGTTTTACCATCCCTCATGCAGCAAACCTAAGTACTTGTTAAACTAGTTCTATTTAACACGTTTGCTGCGGCCCATCAAATAGCAGGCGTAGCCCCAGTGCGGCGCAGCCCGCAGCGTCGAACAAACCAGATTGCCGGGTGATTGGCTTTCATATTTTGGTATGACGAATATCAAATAATGTATGGTAATGTATTGTTTCATGACAAGAGTCGACGTAGTTTGCTAAACACCCACAGTAGATGCCATTATTTAACAATAAAACACACTAATATAGCACAAAATTACAGTTAACAAACGTAATGAGTGAGTCAAAATCCACCAGGTATAGTTTCGGAACGAGTAACGATAATTACAAACGGATTGCACCACAAGACTACCACTGTCATACACGAAGCACGGACAAAAATACTAAGATCTACACTGGAGTGCGGCTTCACTCAAACCGAATAAGTTTGGCGGGTTCACACTACCGCCCGGGCGGTAACACGCACGCAATGTGCTAAATAGGAAATAAATGTTATATTTTTAAGTAGACATTTTAATGTAAATCCAATCAGGCAAATGGAAATTTGCTTAGTCTGCAGGTTTGCTGCGGCAGGGGTATTTTTTAAATCTATTTAAATATTTTTAGGTTTGAAGAGTACCTAGGATTGCTGCTACAGGGAGGGTTATAAAGTGTGTATTTTTTTGTTTAAAAAATCAATATTTTTATGTCCTGCCTTTGTTTACTCAGTAGTCTTAAACTAGATTTGCATGTTGTGCATATGAGATATCGCTTAATAAGATAGGATAATATCCTATCTGCATCCATTAAACCCGACTGCATATTTTTGTATAGGCCTATATATTTATTATTTTTACTTTGTAAGTTTTATTATGTGTTGTGTTTGTGGTTTACACTTACAACTTAATCGGACTCGAGTAAGTGGACGGAATCAATACGACAGTTACATATTAATGACACAGCCACAAACAGGTTGTTAGGGTTAAACATCTGGAGGTAGACTCTGGGGATGAGACGGACAGACATGGATGGTGTTATGATCTAGGTGGGGAGGGGATTAGGTGATGTTTGGTAGCCAATGCCATTTATTGAAAATTGTATGATAGTACCGTTACATGGTAGCGTGATGTACATGGAAACCAGACCAAAAATGAATACAACTAATATTTATATGATAATTTCCTCCCTTTTAAATTTGAACAAAACTTAGAAAAAAATGTTGACGTTTAATACACAGTCTATCGACGGTTGAGTGGTGATATTCCTTGACACTTAGCCTAATCAACAATCATAAAATGTATGTGGTACAACATAACAACTAACATCAAGAATCATGGTTATATCAAATATACACACAAATACAAGTTAGTAAAAGTTAATCATAAGTCTAATCTATTTACAGGTTCCCTAACACGTTCAGGATAGCGTCGCGGTAGACTTTGACAGGTATTACTATTGTCCTACACAGAGCTGATTTTACGCACGCGTATACAGGTGTAGTACAATGTGCGGGGGAAGGGGGGAGTGACCTCCTGGCTAGTGGTGTAGATCGCCATGCTGGGGAAGAGGGGAGCGACCTCCTACCATTCGCTGGGGTGTTTGCCATCCCAACCGGCTTGCTGACTACGTCCTTGGCTGGGGAAGATTTACAATGCGTCTGGTATTGCTTCGTTGACAACTGGGTCCTACGCTTGCGGATGTAGGGATTGCCACTTCTATGTTCAATATTTTCAGCTAAATTTGTATCTCTGTGTAGCGGACTGTTATTCAAACTAATCAGCTGACTAATGCCAGAACTTAACTCTATTACATGAATAATGAATACCGGTAATGAATAATGAATAATGAATAATGAAGTTTATTTCCCACAAAAAACCACAATGTAACAATACATGAGATGTAGAGAAATAGAACTGGCTACTTGATCCAGTAGTGTAACCAGTTTGCTTATACTAACTTATCGGCTAACATGACGTTGTAATTTATGGTCTAGCATCTGTTATAAAACATTGAATTCCGCCTGAACTGTGCATCTGATGGACAAAACAAGAACTGTTTAAATAAACAATGAAAGTTATTACAACAGGATATTATTGATATAATTTATGTCCTGCTGAGAAGAAAGCCAAATTATCGTTGCTTTGCTAAAATGCTTTAAATTTAAACTATTCTTTATTTGAAGTGGTAGATAATTATAGTATTTTGGACCTAGATATTGAAAAGAGTGACGAAAAATAGCTTTATTTACTTTGGGTAGTTTCAGAGTATTATTGGTAATGCTTCTTGTTATGTATGTGTGTGTAATATTTGGTATGACGTTAACTCTGTTTCCACTTCGAACAAAAAACAGTCTAAGAACTTTGAAAACAAAAAGGTGCTGTATGGGCAAAATTTTTAACTGTTGGTAGAGTGGAAATGAACTTGTTCTTTTAGGTTGTTTCAAAATTGTCCGTATAAAAAAGTTTTGTGTTGTTCTTAATCTATTTATCAAGGTTTTTTTAGTTCCTCCCCAGCATGGCAAGGCATATTGCAATCTTGAGTTGATTAGTGCAAAGTATAATGTTCTCAAAAGTGATTCGTTACAAAAATTTCTTAAAAAATAAAATTTTCTTATTTGTGTTTGTATCTTAGCATGTAGATTTAATATATGAGGTTCGAAGGTGACTTTTTCATTGAGTAGAACTCCTAAATATTTTATAGATTTTACTTTTTCTAACGGCTGGCAATTACATAGTTGTGGACTGCAATTTGAGGAGTGAAAAATTAAAGGAGATGGCAATTCAAAACCGGTTGAGTGGAAATTAACAAATTTGGTTTTGTTTACATTTACCTGCATTCTATTGATCAAACACCAATTTCTTAAAAGTAAAGGATCATCGTTTATTAAATTTTCCATCAACATCAAATCGTTTTGTGTGTAAAAAAGAGCAATGTCATCAGCAAAAGCAAAGATATTTCCGTTAAAAGGTAGATTTAATAAATCGTTGATGAACACTAAAAATAAAATACCTGAGGTCGTTGACCCTTGGGGCACACCCGTTTGTACAATGAGAGGATTACTGTAGTCATTGTTTATTTTTACTTGTTGCCTCCTATTTGTGATGAAACTCTTAAACCACTCTAAAGCTGTACCTCTTATTCCTACGTTTTGCAATTTATTTAAAAGAATGTTGTGATTTACCATGTCAAAAGCTTTTTTAAAATCAATAAATAGACCTGTTGTTTTCAGTTTTGAGTTTAATCCTTGGAAGATGTGATCGGTTACTGCCAATAAAGCACTTTCTGTTGACCTGCCTTTAATAAAACCAAACTGCTTATTACTGAAAAAATGTGTTTTATTTAAAAAAATTTCAATTCTAATCATCATGAGCTTCTCGAGTATTTTAGAAAAAACTGAAAGTAAGCTAATGGGTCTGAGATTTTCTAAATTAAAAGAATTATTTTTTTTCAAAATAGGTACAACTAAACTTAATTTGAGTGTCTCTGGAAAAATACCTTTGTTGAAACTCATATTAAATATGTATTCTAAAACAAGAGATATTTCTTCAATTATATGTTTAAGTAAACTAACACTGATGCCATCAAAGCCAGTAGATTTTTT